CTCTCTGGCACCAGAGGGAGTAGAAGTAAACTATGCTCCCGAAAGAGCATAGTATATGTAATTAATGTCCTATAGCAAGGGGTTTTGTATCATATTCTTATCCGAAGAAGGTGGATTACTAAAAGTTTGGATGATAAAAGCCACCAACTTTTAGAAACGATGTATTATACACTATGAGACCATTTATCTTTAGTACAAAGAGATCACAACTAACTCTAGCCATTAGATGCCCAATTGGATGGCTTGAGATTTATCACGAAGTTCAAAAAAATTTTAATTGGGCATTAAAATTAGTAACAAATACACTTACAACTGTCTTATTTGAAATTTGATGAACAAAGAAGGTTGTGACCTCCTTGTACTAAATGTAAATGGTCTTTTTATATACTTTTTCTTTTATTTATGCAAAGAGGGTGGTGGTGGAGATTTTCTTTATTTCTTGTACTCTATCTTCATCCTCTCTCTTTTTCTCTCCTCCACTCTTACTCTCTCTCCTCTCTCTTTTTGTCTCCTCCACTCCTACTCTCTCTCCTCTCTCTTTTTCTCTCCTCCACTCTTACTCTCTCTCTAACCCTCACCTAGATACCTTCATCTTCTTCTACCAGTAATGGATAACAATGGTAGTCTGAATACCCATCTCCTAATTGGAAGCTGTGAAGATGAAAATACCGAAAATTTGGGATTAAGAGATGGGCCAAAATGGAGGAAGAAAGAGCTCTTGAAGGAGTTGAAGAAACAATTGAGTCTGGGTGGACCATTGGTAATGGCAAACTTGTTGCAGAGATGCATGCAGAATGTTTCGGTTATGTTTGTAGGGCATCTTGGTGAGCTCCCTCTTGCTGGGGCTTCATTGGCTACTTCCTTTGCCAACGCCGTGGGATTCAGCGTGCTGGTATGTCCTCCTCCTCCTCTCCTTGCTGCCACTTTTCTTGGCCTCTCATGTTCTTTGAATATTTGCAATAGAGGTGGCCAACCCCACAAGCAGGTTGGTTGACCAGATCCGGGTCTGAGTTCAGGTCCGAGTCTCTATTTTTGTACCCAGGCGGTCTGGTCCGGGTCCAAAACCCTGAATCCGAGTTGGATCCAGGTCGGGTTTGGGTCCAGGTCACACACACATATGTGAATCTCGGTCAATCCAATTGTCACGCTTACATTATTTGAATTTTAGTATGTTTTTTACTAATCAAAATTTGAGAGTCTACTAGCGAAGAATAGGCGAATCTAATAAAGAAATTTAAAAATAATTTACAAAAAATAAATTGATCAAAATACTTTTTAAAGTTATAGAGATATTTTGAACAATTTAGTTTTTACAAATAATTATTTTAATATTTTTATTAAGTGCACATTGACGAAAAGAGTGGATGCTTCAAATTTCAAGTTATTTGGATTTATAAAAAAATAATAAAATTTAAATCGAAATAAAATTATGACTGTCAAATGGCCTGAATTCAATCTGGCTATTCGGCTTATACTATCCATAAGCTATATATATATATATATATATATATATATATATATATATA